ACTTGTATACTTGTATTATTCTAATTTTGAATGAATTTGGGGCAGTTTAGTAAAGGGTGATCCAGCTCCCACAATGAGGAAAAGTAAAGGGAAGAATACATTTTCACACCTTTTAGTACAGAGGAAATGAACAGCATCATTTATGGGTGAAGCTCGGTGCATAGGATTGATTTTTTTTTTTAATAGGGAATTCTAGCCCTGCATTGAATACACTTCTTTACAATAACTCAGACAAGTGTCTGTTCTCCTAGTGAAAATATTTACATCCAAACTTTTACTTTGGCTTTAGTTTCTATAATTGCCTCTACTTTAGTCTAACAGCTCAACATAATATTTGTACAGTGCCTCTCACAATGGGGTCCTGGTGCCCCGAGGGTCCTGGGTGTGATGGTAATATAATTAATAAATAGTAATAATAATGTCATGAAAAAATACTGTTGACAGAGTTAAAAGTTGCCCTGAGGCCTAGCACTGCTTGACGGCATTCAAACATGTCTATGGTTTATTTTGGAGTGTTACAAAGAGATGGGAATTTCTGATTCTATGGTATTTATTAGGCTAGATGCCTGTTCAGAAAGATGTGATTTTATTTATTTATTTTTAGGTTCCGATCTTTAGTTATTAGCAGCCATCAGAAACACCTTTTCTTCTATCCTCTCCCTAACATGTTCGGGTCCAAATCCTGTACTCCTTAATACTCTCAGTCCTTATTCAGGAAAAATTCCCATTAGTGTCCATAAGAATTTGACCAAGTGAATAAAAAACTGATTAAGAACTGCAGGATTTGGCTCAGGATAGCAATTCATGCATTGTAATAAGAGGACCATCTAGTTCCCACTCAATTTGAATCCCACTGCTATGACAGTGATGCAAGTATCACTGTCCTGGTATGTTTAACCTTTGCCAAACCAAAGCTGGAGCATTAACTCCAATCCTAAACTCCCATGTCTTAAAGGGCAGCATAACCCACACCGCCTCTACATTGCCACTCTAAAGTGGTTTACAGCTCCGTTATAATATGCATGCAGATCTCAGCAGCAGAAACCTTAACAATGATTGATGTAAAAAAAACACGTTACTAGAATAATATTGGTCTTGTGGAATTTCTCATAGCTGTGTTTCCCTTATATCAGCTGGTCTAAGTACTCTTGCAGACAAATGGTGTGATACCGGAAGACAGACTATGTTGCCTACAATAGACGGGGACTCTAGTCAGATATACCACGCCGTATAAATGCAGTAAATAGGATGAGAGCTGATAGTGTTTAGAAGTGGTAGTACCAGTGCTGCCCGAGTTCTATTTGAATTGGATTATGTGAAAAAAGAAGGAATATATAGACTGCCAGCTGCTCAAAGGCTTACTACAACCTTGCTTTTATTGTTCTGCTAAGTTAGAGATGGGGCATCAGAGGGATTCCAAACATACCATTACTGAGAAATGTTAATATGTTCCACACTGACACAGATAAAAAGGAAATAACAGCTGATCAGAGTCAGAGCAGGAGACAGCACCTCTCAACATGCGTGTACAGAATTGTGGGAAATTAGGACAATCCGGTCATCCGCAGAGAGACATGTGAATGAATTAATCTGATTGCATCCAAACTTTTATCCAGGAATTAACATGAGTTAGAATGCAATAAGCATCCAGTGGAAAAGTCAGACAACAGTAAACAAAATAACAAAGGGTAGAGAGAATTTGAATTGGGCACTACTATTCACTCTCACATGAGCCAAGAACAGGAGGACATTCCATGAAATTGAAAGGCAGCAAATTTAAAACTGATGAAAAGGAAACACGCTTACAGCATACAAACAACATACAACCAGCCTGTGGAACTCGAGTCCCCAAGGTATCATTGAGGCCAAGAACTAAGAAGGGTTCAAGAAAGTTTTGGCCATTTATACAGCTAATGTGAGCATCCAGCATTATAATAATAAAGATTTTTAAAGACTTTTTGGAAGGATTACAAACCCTCATGCTTCAGGGCATAAACCAACCTTTAACTGATGAAGTTAGGAAGAAACTTTCCCTGTCGGCAGGTTATTACATAGCTGCTCACTACGGAGTTTTTGATACCTTCCTTTGAAGTAGATGGCTCTAGCTTCTGTCAGAGACAGAATACCCAATAAACTGGGCCAGTGGTCCAATCCAGAATAATCATTCCTATGGTACTAAAACCAAGAGTGCCAATTATCTCCCGAAAATGGCCAAAGTGCAAGGTATTAGAGGCACAGGGACTTTCAATTCAATTCAATTTGAAAAATATGTTTGTTTTTTTAAATCTACTATAACATTTGTAAAGATAAATGGCCTGATGACTTAACAACAGCACTGCACTGCATGCTCGTGTCAGAGACATCCAGGTTCAGGAACAATCTCGAGCTTGTCACTTCCTCGTTCTTTTCAGAGCAGATAAATCAGAGAGGTGATGTGATCAGACCTCAGGGGATACAATGAATGGAGTTGACTACATGAGCACTTCTTGTTGAATGAGTCATTGAGCGTGCCTTACATCCCTCCCACCTAAAGGAATGGTGTTGCAATCCCACCAATCAAAGTACAAGGCAAGGATAACCTGGTGATTTCATTGACCCCTAAGGCACATCTGAACCTATGTGGGTTAGACCGACTGCTATTGTGCAGATTACCCATGCTTAGATGGCTGAATGGAAAACTACTACTATAAACAGTAAACAGTACTGGATATAATGAATGGTGATATTGCTATGCTATCCAAGCAAGGGTAATTTACATACATGCATCTGTTTAAAAATAAGTGGTGTGTGAAAAAACTGAATTCTAAGAAGCAGCACTGGCAGGCGATGATCTGAATAATGATCTCATAAAAGAGTGGCACAGTAGCTGGCTGACATCCATAGTTAATTGGCTTCATAATAATAAAATTCCATTTTCATTATGTAAACTTGTAGCAACAAAATCTATTTAATCCCCTTTATGTTTTATCTGAAAGATACTCAATAAGATATTTATCCTAGAACTAAGATTTCATTATTCCAGCAAGAGAATGTCATTTTATATGTCATATGGGCCAGATTGTGAATCTCTAATTCAAGCTGGTAAGCAGCTACTCACCAAAGTAGTTTCATTGAGGTCCATGGAGCTATTCATGTGCATAGCTGCTCATTAGCATGAGTCACAATCTGAGCAAAGTGAGTAGTACTAGCAATGAAAAAAGTAGATTCCACGAAAACAAGTTGTTCTTATAAATAAGGACAAATGCCAGAACAGTATCTGTTATACCCACATGTAGTGACCCTAACAGGCATCTGGGCTGCTTCCATTAGGAAATCATTACATGATGCAGCACTGGTATGAAGTGAATTTGTATTTACTGTTGTTTTAATTTATCACTTGAAATGTGCTCTTTAGTTCCAGTACACACTGTCCCTTGCATGCACCAGTTATGACAGGTTGCATTGGAAGTTACTACAAATTGCTAATAATACTTGGCAGCCATATGACACTCTTCTTCTTTAAAAAGCAGTACAGATATTAACAAATGAACCTTCCCAACACCCCGATGAGGTAGGTACCGTAGAGATGTACTATTATGCCCTTTTTTTTACAGACCAGGAAATTGAGGTAGAGAGTTTAAATCAGCTTCAGAACGAGATTAGAATTCTGGCCCCATGTCCCATGCCCTAATTGCCAGACCACCTCTCTCTCTCTCTCTCTCAAAAATGAATAGTCAACCCATGTAAAACACTTTTCTCACCCAAGCTTTCTTTGCAGGGCTGCTTCATGAATTCCAGGTAATTTCATTAATATAATTAAGGTGAAAATGGAATTCCACATTTTCAGCTGTACATCTCTGTTAGTGTGATTATTGCTATTTAATCTGCTGATTTCAACCTTCCCAGAATTCTTGCGCTCACCTGAATCTCCGCCGCTACGTGGGATTTTTTTCTTTAATCAAGTTCTAATTGGACTTTATCCATTACAATGGACGCCAGTTATACTGTATTCTGATATATTATTCGGTTCACAGCTATAATCTTCTTTTGTCCCAAGCACATAGACAACAGTTATGTTCATGCTTCTTACAGTGACACTCTTCTTAAAGAGAAATTTTACTCTGCAAAGCAATGATTTCAGTGTACTGAAAGATCCTTTATACCTCCTGGCAAGTTTTTTGAGGTCTTGTAGATTGTCACTGAAAGCAGTGCCCTGCCTTAGCATCCTCCAATTGGAGCTACTGAACACACATCCACACTGCATTATTTGTTGTGCTGAAGGGGTAAGCTGACTACTAAATATACCCCTCTGTGCTCCAGCCAAGACAAACACTGTGGATTTCCTCGTCGCTTTTAGCCAATCAAATATGTACATTAAATCCATCCTAATCCATAACCAGTGCTATGCAATCCATGGCAAAGCTTCCCAGAAGTTTGGTTAAATAATAATGTGCAAATTAAAATTGCCCCTGCAAAGCATGACACACAAAGCTAGAAATAAATATTGCCTATTGTTTCAAATTATTCTAAGCACTCTGGCAGATGACTGGCAAGAGAGCAGCATATATAAGTAGTAATAAAAGTAAACAGTTCCATTTGAAACTAGCAGGCTTGCCTGTGTCCATGGAGCTCTATTGTAATGGGACAAAGACAGTCCTGGAGATACTATAGTTCTTTCTATGAATTCAGGACAGAATTGAGTGCCTCCCTTCCTCCCAAATTCATACAAATGAGAATCAGTGCAAAGTTACAGAAAGAAACGTATTTGATCATTTTATCCAAAACCACAGTACACTGCCTGTTTTTCTTCCCAGAGATTTCACATAGGCATCCTCAGACAGACGTGTAATTAAGGAAATAATAATAAGATGATGTAGGTAGTAGAACTGAAGTCATTTTTTAAATGAATACACTTTATTTCAAACATGCTATTTGGAGAACATGTATTTGTCAGATAAATAAATTAAATGCTCAGTTTAGTAATACCCAAAATATGAGTAAGTGCTTATTTGTGTGCTTACCTTTGGAAAATGTGCCTCTCCTTCCTTCCCTCACACTCTTCTGAGAGCGAAAGAGAGGTCCTGTTACTTCCAAATGCTTTTGTTCTTCTGTCCCTCTGTCACATGGCTTGCCTTTTATATTTGCAACACACAAAAGTTAGGGCTGTTGTTTGAGCGAGAGAGAGGGAGCGAGAGAGGGAGAGAGAATGTCAAATGGAAAAGTGCCATTGCAGTCATATATCAATCAGGCGAGCGGCAGCAGCAGCTCACTGGCAAATGGGAATTCCACAGAAATGTGAAGCTCTTGTTATCTGAGAAATCACTGAACACCACCAGCCAAGCTCGCCTCTTCGGGGACTTCTTATTGGAGAGCCAGGAAAGAAAAGTAAATGCACTTTTTCTCATTTAAATTCAAGCGCTATCTTGTTGTGGCATAAAAGGGAGTGCAGTAAATGTCCTGAATTTACTTCCCTCCTAAATGAACGTACAGTAGCTGAGGTAATACAATGAGCATGAGGTGTAAGATAATTAGAGCTTTGCAATACATAATTTGACAACTTAAGCCTCTGTTTGTGTTTGGAAAACATCCACAAGACAATTGAATTTCCCTGGGTTTATTCATTATCCTTTTTTTTTTTTTGGCCAAAAAATTTTTTTTGGAATTTTTTATTCTACGGACTGACTCCAGATATTCTAAATTCAAGCTGTGTGTTTTTACTGCAATTGGCCAGATAAGTCACACTGTGTTCTCTGATTGAATGAGCAGGCAAGTATTTCCAAAATAAATACATGTGTGTACCAATCTAAAATTCAGTTTCTGCAAATAATCTTCCCTGCAATTTTGAAATTTGCCCTCAAATGCTTGCATAAAGGACATAAGCATTGCCAAAGTGAATTTATTTAAAATTGCAAACAAATATTTTCATTTTTTTAAATTTTCCATTATTCACCCTCTTCTGAAGAGTGTAACCTTTGCTAAATGAAAAGGAGTACTTGTGGCACCTTAGAGACTAACACATTTATTTGAGCATAAGCTTTCGTGAGCTACAGCTATGCTCAAATAAATTGGTTAATCTCTAAGGTGCCACAAGTACTCCTTTTCTTTTTGTGGATACAGACTAATATGGCTGCTACTCTGAAACCTTTGTTAAATGGTGATTCTTCAATCTGTTTTGTTTAGGCATTCTGACTGAGACATGCAAACATAACCATTCATTCCCTGAGAGACTGAAGACAGATCCAAACTACTGAAAAAATGACACAAATAACAAACGCATCATAAATTTGTCTAGTTACACTCATTTCAGTAGTTGTGAAATCATTGTCTTGCCTTCCCCTAAGGTAAAATATATGTTTCATTCCACTGCCACAGAATGTTAGGTTCCCTATTATTAATCCTATGACATTACAGAAGTACAACAATGCACAAGTAACAACAAAGCTATCTTGCTAATTAAAAATAAATTGATAACTTTGGCTATGGTTCCGGAGCACACCTAACCATTCACAAGATGTACTTGATCAGAATCAATGACGATAAGATGGATGGAGTCCTGAGTTGATAGTGTTTAAACACTAAAGGAAAGTTGGGATTTGATGGATGTTGTTATTAGCTAAATGTCTTATGCTGTAGAAGATCAAACAGCAGATGGAAGTTATGCCTTAAAAATAGAATAATCTAAAAGGGGGATGATTGATGTATGAATAAGCATCATGGCAACAATAAACAGTATTTGGCTTGATTTTCCTTGGAGTCAGATTTGGCTGGAGGTTAAACAACAAATGACTTTAGCTTTATATCCTCAGAATTTGAATTTCAGCCTGCTTTTTGTTTCTTATTTGTTCCTTTCTCTACATCAGCCCATCATTTCTCTCTGATGCCTTCTTGACAATTAACATGTGTGAACAAACTCTGTGACTCCCTCCCAGCTGTCGCCAATATAGTTCCATTGATTACCTCAGTATGGGAAGATGGAAAACATACCCTAGAATCTCTATCTAGAGCACCTTTCGTTTTATTTGAGTGCTGGTGCTTCAGTGATGCTCAGGTACCTCAATTAACCTGACTAGAATAGACTATGTTGTTTTCTAAACCTACCATTTTTATTTAATATAGTTCTTATGAACTTGTAAAACTAAATGTACTCAAAGATTTTTCTTGTTATTGTTGTCAGATCTATAATACAAATTCAGGTCTCTTCAGTTTTCCAATGGAAAGAGAGTGGTACAAGTTTCCATGCTCTGGCTGCTTGCCACAAAGGAATTGCAATATGGAAGATGAGAAACTATTTAAATATTATAAGAATGAAATCTTTCATGAGACATCAGAAACTCATGAGACAATCATTACTAAAAATAACTTTTCCTAGATTCTTGTTTCCTAGATTGATGTTATCTTGGTATGGAACCTTCATGTATCCTATAGCACAGCCTATCTACATGGACTGATAGTTGTCTATTAAGTGCCATGCACACTTATGGTATTAAGTAAATAATAATAGGGGTGTCAGTATTGCTGACATTTTTCACCTAATTTTTAAAAAAAGTTTCTAATTTTTCACCTCCAATTTAGCATCTATTTCTGGGCGCAAATGAGAACATATTGACATTTACCTACCTACCTGACCTTGAAAATCATGTGGTTAAGACTCAGTATATCATAATTTGCCATCCCAGAATTGCATTTCTAGATGATTGCAGGGACAAAATTAGTAGCACAAAATTAGAATCCCCTTTAAAAATATGGTCCATATTTGTTTACAACTCCTAGCTCTTCATGACCATCAATCATTGGTGCTAGTCCTACCATATAAAAAAGGAAATGAGGAGGAAACAAATTAAAAAGGAAGCCTCAAGGACTTGGGGACGCATTTCTAAGGGTATTTAGGCACCTAAGATGCAGATGGATGGCTAGTAAGATTTTCAAAAGCACTTAAGTAGGTTAAATGCCTAATGCCCATTGAAATCTATCTGAAAAAATTGGCAATTTAAGTCCTGATCCTGCAATAAACATTCTGGTGGTGGACGCTGCATCCATACGCAGTCCCACTGACTGAAAGGATTCTGTCTACCCGGAGTTTCTTGCAGGATCAGGGCCTTATTTTCTGTTCCGGTACATTCTTCTGTGGCATATTCTTGTACTTGTAATAAACAACTCATATTAACCTATAGAAAGTCATTATTTCAGAATTGCCTATAGTACAGTAGGGTGAAATCCTGGTCCCCACTGATATCAACAGGGCCAAGATTTCACCTTCTGTGCCACAGATTTATTGTGGTATGCATTCAGACTTCTACAGACAAATCAATTTGTTTTTAATGTCAAGTAGTCTCCTACATTGCCATTCCAAACCCTTTCCTGTGGCAATTTTCCTCTCTCAGCTGTAACATCTCTTTTTAGTTATGGAATTATTTCTCAGAACTAATACCAGGTGTGCTCAGATGGCAACCATTCATCTTGAAAGACGCTGGTGTAAGCGCCGGAGCAATTCAGTTACTCTGTCATGCTGCAGCATCATGAGTGGCTAAAAAGTCCAGTTCTCGAGCAACCGTTCTTGCCACAAATAGCTCAGGCACAAGGCGCAAGGCCAGAGGATGAAACCTGCATGCTACTAGCTTGAGGCCTACTGTACTCTCCTCTCTTTGCTTTCCTCTTGTAGGCTCTTTGACTCCATGGCACAGTGCAACCCTCCAGCTAGCAAAGCTGCATCTTCTCAGCTTGAGGTGTTGACGCTGAAAGTTTTCAATTTCTTCTTGCAAATGCCCCTGAACCCGAGGCTAGGTCAACCCAGTGGCTTTGGAACATCTGCAAGTTCTCCACACAGGAGATCCTTTCGAATCTGTCCAATGTCCATCCAATGACAAAGCCAACAGAGACATCTGTATTTGAGAGTAGGGACTAGACTTGGCAATTTTACTTTCTCATGGACTTTGTTTTGTTTCCCACTTGATATTTAGAATACAGCCAACATAGGAAGGTGGAAGGTGTTTAGCCTTCTCTCATGCCTGCTGCAGGTAGTCCAGGTCTTGCCACCATACAGCAGAATGCTCAAAATGCACATCTGGTAGACCTGTTTCTTGGTTTTCAATGTTATCCCACGTACACACTTGGTCAGTTAGCCGAACGTGGTCGCTGCCTTTCTGATGTGAGAATTAAGCTAGTCATCTAGAGATAAGGGATCCAATACAGTTGATCATAGATAGCAGAACTTGTGCACAACTTCTATCATGGGGTTAGCTATTGAAATCACTGCAGCAGTCAACACACCTTGTGCCGTCATCATTGTCTTCTTTAGACTGCTGCTTAAGTCCAAATTCATCACAAACTACCACAAAGCTATTGCAAAGTTGCTGAAACTCCTCTTCACTGTGTGCGATAAGCACTGCATTGTCACCAAAAACCAACTTTCTTATCAGCAGGGGTTTGACTTTGCTTTTTTCTCCGATAAGTACAATTTTGAACAGTTTTCCACCTGATGTTGTATGTCAATGTACACCCTCAATGCTAGGTGAAGCAGCGGAGAAAAGAATATACTGAAGAGTGTTGATAGACATGCCTGTTTGACACCACTGTGGATTTCAAAGTTGTCAGATTGATCACCATCATATTAGACTGTAACCTTCATGCCATTATGGAAGGATCAAAATCAGACTGTGGAGGATGCGGGGTGGGGGGAGGCAAACAATTCTCTCTAGCAATTGATGACTAGTCTACAGCCATAGGTTTTAGAGCCCAGAGAATGGAAGGATTCAGATAACTAGTTATCAGTTGAGGAGCCTTTCAACTCTAAATCACTAATTCAAATCCATCCTAGGTCAATACTGACTCAAAGTTTTTCCCAAGGTGGAATATATGGAATCAGTATATTGTTGGTGTTTTCTTTCGTTAGAGAACAGCAGATCTCTACAGCATCCAAAGCACCATCATAACTGTTGTTAATCCATACACTTATTGGTTGCATCAGTAGAAAGGCCAAGAATTGGACAGATATACAGAGCTGTTTTTTAAAATGCAGAAATTCACTTATGCCAAGAAAAAAAATGCATGCCCAGAAAATAATGTGTGTACAATTGGTGCAAGCATTTGAAGATGGCAGGATATAGACGGGTAAGACATGTAGTGGAGTGAAATACTGGTTTGTTATTGAATTGATAAAGGGTGGATTGGGTTAGGGTTCTGAGGTTTGTTTAATTTGTATATCTAAATAATGGCAGGGCACGCAGTGCTCTTGGATGGGCTCTTTTCTATTATTGTTATAGATCCAAATAAATAAATACAATAACATTCCACATCTGCACTTGTACATGCAACTGCTACGACCATGTATACAAGTCAGATGTTGGCAGGTG